CCGAACATTGAATCCTGGGTTTGAGAGGTCCGGGCCAGAGTCTGAGGCAAGTGATGGGGCTGAGAACGAAGCTCAGACTCAGGACTTGCATCGTCTCTGGGCCGCGGGGAGAAGGAGAGGCTGATTCTGTGGCCAAACACATCCTCATTTTCCATTCGCTTGCGGGCACGTGTAGCTGCCTCAGGGCTGCCAAAGCGGAGGACTGCTGTGCCCTGGGACACACCAAGTACTCTGCCGCCACAGTTGTCTGACAGCCGGCGGAGCCTGAGCTTCACAGCGTTCCGCATGTTCTTGTCACAGTTGAGAGGGAGGTTGTGCACATAGAGGAGGTTGAAACTGGGCTGAAGGAGGGGAGGAAAAGACACCGCGGCTGTCTGGTTTGTATTATTTACACTCAGAAAATAAAACTTTTATTTATTTATTTTTTTACTTGGGAAAAACAAGTGGGAATGGCCGACAATATTAAAGATTAGCAACAATTAATGATTTCCAATTCCCACTATTAGATGAGTAACTGTCAATCTTGTGTGAAATTCACATTCCAGCTGCATCGCTCTTCACATTTGGCAAGTTTACATTAAAACGAGATTGTCCTTCGTTAATTTTGTTAGTGTATACTTACCTTAATAAAAGGACCGTTTAAAAAGTACTCTTAAAATCTTAATGAAGCATTTATGAGGCCTACCTGCGCTTTGACAAGCATGCGTGGTGGCAGATCTGCTGTTATCTCCTGAAAGGGCACATGGCTGTTGGCATGCTGCAGTAGAGCTGAAGAAGTATGGCTGCCATGAACCAGGATTACGTGGAAACCATGGCGATGACGCAGGTCACTCAACTCGCTTGCAAAATTCACATCAGCTGTTAATAAAAAGGCGACCCGTGTTATCACAAATGTATGTGCGGTAACATGGCTGTAGTTCATTACAGGTAATCAGAGGCGAACTTACAGGATACCAGTACAACAGTTGCAGGTGCAGTGTGCGTCTCAGCAAAGCGCCGTAGGCTCTGACGAAGTTTGTCATCTGCAGCATTCTTGGCTGTGGCATTAATATGTGCAACAGTAACCTGTAAAAGTACAATTATTAAGCGTCGGAATTATTCCTCCTTTTAGGC